CGCTATACTCCTTTCAACAGGGTTGTATACCGATTGACCTGGAGTAATTTATAGGACAAATAATATTTAGTTTGCTAGTTAATAATAATATTATAAATTTGACCAATTACCATTTACACTAATTCAAATTAAAAAAATTCAGCTTGATAAATAGCATTCGATTTATGCTATTTGGAAATTTGAATTTTTTTAATTTTGACTAGTGTTTTGAAAAAAATTAATTGACTTTTATTTGGTTAAAGTATTTAATCAACTAACTAGTTTACTAAATAATTTGACAATTTTAGATCACTAACCTGGAGCATGGGTCCTAACAGTCAAATAGTCTAAATCAAAGGAACGAAACATTTTACAATATTAGTAAATATTTTTTAGATAGCGGGGTTCTCGTCTGGGCCTCCATCTACAATGAGGATCCAGATGGGTCTAATTTCATTATCAATCTTTAGCCTATTGTCAAAATGGCTATTATTTACTAATGAATATAGATCGCTCATATGCATTATAGTACTTGTCCCTGTTTCATATTGTGAACGGATATATATTGACAATTGGCCGCTTCTAAGGATGTCATTTGTGTCATTCGTTTCAATCAAGAGATAGATGGAGAGGATAAGTTTTTGTCGCGAGCCAACAGGAAAGTCATGATCCGGAAGAAATGTTGGCTCATTAGCACTTTGAATAGCTTTGAAAGTTTTGCCAACTGCAGGAATGCCAAGTGGGATTTTGGCTTTGTCATCCTGCGACACAATTACCAAAAAGGTTGGAAACAGGGCAGCAAATTGTCTCGCCACCTTGATGGAGGCAAGACAATAATGACTATCCTAATGTTCTTTCATTTCATTTTTTGAGACAGATGCAACCTGACCAACAATTATTAATAAATAAAAGTAAGGAAGATATGAGTATACTAAATAAAAAGTTAATTTTAAAATTTTATTATTTTATTTTTTTTAACTTATTATACTAAATAAAAAATCTTTAATTTCTAATTTTACATATAGGTAACATCAAGAGAAAACCAGACTTCAATTATATAAATTTAATATGATCGAAGCATGGTTTTCTCTGGTATCCATATATTGTATATGTATTTTTTAAATTATATGAGGACAGAATATGAATATTTAGACATATACAATTCAGAAGAGATTTTGAATATCAAAATATACTAACCTGAACATTGGTCGGATGATGATGCTTTTTTGCCGCAATAGAATTTTGATAACGTGGCAACAAGTAATTGCATACAGTAGTATAAAAGAGATGTTCATTATAATTTTTTTCTAATTCTTTACATAGATGGTTTATAGTTCTAACTTTTATTGTTTCTTTCCTCCTTTTGCAATTGGCAGCCCCGAACTCTATACTTTCATGAATTTGTTCAAGTAAGTTTGGATGCTTGAACAATAAAGGAGGACGTCCAGGTGAATCATATTTCACTACTTGTTGATTTTCCTGTAAGTCTTTTTCTTTGTTTTCACGATATTTCTGTTGATATTCGGCTCTTTTTTTAAGGGTTTGGAGTTTTTTACTTTTATTACAGAGAGTTTGTTTAAGGTCACATATGCGTTCTATTGATTTGAATTTGACCTCCTGATCGGTTGTCGTGTTATAGAGTTTTTGACATTCTTCAATTTCACTATTTATTTTAACAATAGCTTCAGTTATCTTATGCTGCGTCGCAGCATTTAGTGGTGATGTACCCGGGGTAACAATTCCTCAATTATTTTATTTTGAACTGAAGAAGCAGCAATAAAATTTTTAGCAGGGGCTAGGTCTAGAATAGTAGAGATAGTATTGTTAATTAAGCTTGCTATGATATTTTGAATCTCATGCTTAGGCTTGAATTTAATAGTTCTCCACACATTATTGAATTCTTCACACGCAACTCCCTTTGGGTATTTCGAATCTTCCGTGATGACCATAAGGCCGTATGCAAATGCATTACAAAACTCCTTATATTGGGTATCTTGAACTTTGTAAATGTAAAATTTATTGTATTCCAATGTAGTCAGATCTTGCATTTCAAAAAGATAAAAAGAAGAATAAAAAGAGAAAAAAAAATAAGGCAAAAGAAAAAATTAAAAAAAAAGCAAAAGAAAAAAAGAAAAAAGAAGTCTAATACTATTAATTATCAAAAAGAGAAGAAAAAAGAAGACAGAAATCAGAGAAAAAGGTAGCCAGGTTAGTTTAATATTTTGTAATTTTAGTAGATATTTTATTATAACGGGTTGATATAGTAGAATTCGGTCATATTTATAGTGAATGAAGCAATATACTAAAAATTGGCTATGCTTCTTACTAATTATTTGCAATAGAAGTTTGCGCAATTGTGAAACGGTTCTATTTATTTAAGTTCAGGAGGTAATTATAACAATATTCTGCTCGTAACTGTAGGTCTTATGTTTTTGTGCAATGTACTTTATTATTTTTTAATATAATTTTAATTTTAAAACATTTTTACATTGTTACAGCTATATTTGGTGCGCATAAAGAAAATCTACTTTAAAAAAAACGAACAAGAATATTACAAATTTATATTCGATGCATCCAAAAGAATTTATATTAAATATACCTGTCTTTTATTTAATATAATGGATGCTGTTGATCTTGTATTCGATATACCGGTATTTGGAGAAAATTTGTTTCAAGTTACCCCTATATTTAATATAATTTATTAATTTTTCTTAATAGTTTAACGGATAGGGTGCGCAGCTAATTTTACATTCAACGCATTTGGCGAAAATTTAAATATTATTTTTAACTTTATTATATTTTTATACAAATCAATTAATATTTTTTTAAATTAAAATAGTAATAGATGGTGAAATACCACTGATTTTAATTTGACGCGTCTGTGAGAAATATAGAGTATACCTGTTTTATTAAAAATTTTAATATTTTGATATAAGGCCATACAAATTTAATTTATTGATTTTCATAACATGAAAATTTTAAACTGACCCGGCCGGCCGGCTTTTTTTTTTAAATTTCATATATAAAAATTTTATAAAATTTTTAGAATTTTTTTTTAAAAAATCCACCCGGTTATTAAAACATATAAAAAAATTTTTTTACAAGTTTTTGAATTTCGACCCGGCCGGGTTATGAAAATCAATTAATTAATTTGGCATGGCCTAATTTCATTATCTGTTATTAATTTTTTTAAATCCCTTAATAATTTAATGGATGGGGCGCTCTGACAATTTTACATTTGATACATCTGAAAAAAATTTATTTTAAGTATCATACAGGTTAACTCTTAAGTTTTAATTAAAATTATTTAATGGACAGGAGAATGTGCAAAAAAGATTTAATTTCTTAAAACAATTAAACGGCAGGAGATACTGCATATTTTATATTCGATACATTTGAGGAAGCAATAGAATGCTGCCTGGCTTTAACCCAAAAGGAAGTAACTGCTAAGTTCTTATATTCTGCACAAATATATTCTGTATTTATTTCTTAATTGGTCTTAACTTTTCTTAAAATAGTTAAACGGACAGGAGGTATCATATATTTGTATTCAATGCACTTGAAGAATAGAATACTGCCTGGCTTTTACCCTAAAAAGAAATAACCAATAAGTTTTACTATCTTGTACAAACTTTGTGTTTGTTTTAATTTATATGCATGACTTTCATTTGGGGATTTATTTCTACATTGTTCTTATTTTTTTACAATGTGTTGTCATATTACTAACAAGCTATTGGAAATAATTTTGTTTTCATCTAGCTAAGATATTATTGTATAATACAAAGACGAATATATTGCTATAGCTAACTCGCTTTTTTTAGACTTTCTCGATCTGGCGTACAACAGATTTAATTCAATAATTAGATACTTAACCTGTAATGTTGATATTTTAAGCCAATTCGTGTATACTGCAATGAATTTACTTCCTCTAATCCAATAATTTTCCTATTTTTTAATAAGCCTCCACAATCCCTATTCACTACTGCACTATTTATGTGAATTCTGGTCACATGTTACAAGATCACGGGATTTATCGCTTTCACTACTTTAGAACTTTGCACTTTAAAAATTCAATTTTGTTTTTTTTTTTAACATACGGGCGTTACAATTTTGATAAAATTTACAATACTTATTAAAGACTTCCCATCGATACAATTTTTTATCACATTTGATAAACTTATTGTATTTATCATTGCATTACCTTGCCGGTAAGTACAGAACTCTTATTAATCGATATACATTGATTAAAATTAAAAGTTCAACATTCTGAATAATGTAATTAGAATATCGCTCAATGTGCCATCCAGTATTAAATGATTTCGTGGACATGCATGTCTATGAAGTCATATAATAATGTTGAATAGCATATTAGTGACATTCAAATTATGCTATTAAACATGTTGAAATTAATTTTGATTCTGACAATGACATTCAATGTATTTACACTATTTATCTTATTAATTTTATTTTTGTATTAATTTAAGAGGTATAAAGATCCTTAATTGGTATATCTGTCGAGCTTGAAGTTGCAACATCAGGCATACTTGAAGTTGTATTAACTGAAGTTAGCCCCTGAAATTAGATATTCTGGTTAGTAATTTCAGGCAGGTGCGATTTTAGGTGCTTGAAGTTGCAACTTTAATATTTATATTTCTAAGTTGGTGCTTGTAAATATTTATTAACTGCATACTTACTATTACAATATCTTTCAAAAAATTAAAGTAAAAAATGGAAGCTACAAAAAAAAAATAAAAAAAATAAAAAAATAATATTAAAATGAAAATAAAATCTAAAAAAATATATATAAATGAAAAAAAAGGTAAAATGAAATAAGATCAAATAAATGAAATAAATGTAAAAAAAATTTATTTGAACCCAATTTTTAACCTCTTTTTTTTTTAGATTCTTGTCATTTCTCACGACCCTGACTACTGATGTGAAAGAGGTGTTCGAGCTTGAATGGTTTTACTATCATTAGTTTGTACTTTGCACATTCTGAATAATCATTAATATGGCCATTTATGGAGATTGTGCAAACCACATATAAAATTAAGAACTTTCCTAACGTATATCATGGTGCATTGTGTAATAGTGCTGTTATTTACCAGAAATATCAGGTAAATTAGTACTTTTCCTAGAAGTTTTGTTGACAAAGTAGCCTATTATCAATCTTAACACTTTCAGTATAAGACAAAGATAAGCAGTGTTAAATATATTGGGCATATGATCAGTCTCATATCAAGAGCTGATATACGTTACGTAAGTATACTTCGCAGTATCAATTTTGCAGGCTCGACTATAAATCTTGTACAGAGTTGGTCTTTTAAATTGGCTTTTCTTCTTTAGGAATTTTAATAAAATATGCATTTTAATATTAATTTAATTATATTCAATAATAGCTACAAGTAACAATTGTTCAACACCAGGCAATAACTGACTTACTAGAAGGAGCAGCTATTTTGTACAACAAAGTAGTAGAGGTTGTGTCAGAAGAAACTATGACCAAAGTTATAATTGCAGTAGAATTTCTGTTGTGCAATCAGATTTTAATTTTGAAACGTCAAATGCCAAGACAACAAAAAAGACATTGTCAAAGAGGTTAGTATTACTCCTAACAATGATCCTAAAGATGAAAATTGTGTAGGTGGCATTGAATTTGGTCCAGAAGAGGTGAATAATGATGTTTTGATGCCACTTATTAAGACCTACTATGATAAGGCCAAATCTTTCTTCGACAACATTTCTTGTGAAATAATAGATCGATTGGAATGACAAGAACCTAGTGGCCTGTTAACAATTTTTTTCTTTTAAAAGATTGTTAAACACATGTATATATATATATTGACAATTATTAATTGTTAATAGAGAGTCGTCTATTACTAAACAGAGTCAGAAACAATCCGAAGAAAAACATATGAATCTTGAAACTTTTGAGCAATTTTCGATTAACGGTGAAAAATATTGTGGTGATTATCACAATTTCAGTTGTAAAAGTTGAAGCAAATATTGTGGTGGCTGTGGAATCTGTGAAGGATACCTATCTGTTATGTAGAGGAATAATTTTAGGTATATAATTGTTTCTTTGAAAGTTTTATTACTACTATCATGCTAACTCTACATCAAAATGTTTTTTAGCAGCAGATTCATCAATAATATGAAAGTGTATATTAATAATGACTTAGATATTTTATTTAAGATCATGAATTTCTTGTTATCTATTATTTAATGCATTATTTCCAACACGCTATTGAATTTGTAATTTTTGTTATTACATTATAAAGCTGTTTTGGCCGAAATTTTTTAGTAGTCACAACTTGTGAGAACAATCATTGCTGCTAATGCTTATGCTAAAATTTGGGGACTTGATTTGAAATATAAGCCTTGCTAAAACCCATATATACATTTTAATTATAAATTCTAGTCCAAATTTTAGCATCAGCCGTGACAATCATTAACAACCCCCTAGTGTACCTAACAAGTTGTATCCTTTCATGATTTTTGACCAAACAAATTTCAAATTCAGGTGTAAACAAAACAATCGAAGCGAAACCACTTTTTACAAAAAAAAAGACCGAAATTTTAATTAAGAAATGACTTCTGTGGTCTAATTAAAATGCTTGAGAAATTTACTACTAGGCACTAAGTTATTTTAACCCTAACCCAAACCATTATGCAGTTTTATTCTTGGTAAAAAAAATATATGCACAATTTTATAAAAGCCGTTAATTACTGTGTCATCTCAAAGAAAATTAGTGTTAACCGTTAATTTTTGAGCCACATGGGGCCATTATGAAATGATCTCACGAGGAAAACCATTAATCGTTAATTTCTGCACCACATGGGGCCATTATGAAATAACCTCACGAGAAAAACCATTAACCGTTAATTTCTGCACCATATGGGCCTGTTATAGAATGGTTTCACGTATGGTCTCACGAGAAAAACTGTTAACCGTTAATTGCTGTGCCACATGGGGCCGTTATGGAATGATATCATGAGAAAAATTGTTAATCGTTAATTACTGCACTACATGGGGCCGTTATGGAATGATTTCATGAGACAAACCGTTAACCGTTAGCTACTGCGCCACATGGGGCTGTTAAACCAATTATTTAGTAATTATATAAAGGGTTTCTAAAGGGTTTCAGGAATCTGGGTCTGAGGGGGGGCTATATTTATATAATAAGTGTTAGCTCCCTTATTGCTAATTGGCCTAGCCAATTGTTTATTAGAAAAGCACTATATATAAAGATATTGCTATAAGAAATTGAGCTGTTTTTACTAATTTTAGATCTACTTTATTTATCTTTAAATAGTAAAGAACATATTTTTTTAGTGCACTATTCTTTTTTAAGAAACTGTTTTACTTTGTTTTTGGTTTCAAAAAACCTTAAGTTTAAATTTGCAAAAAAGCTTATTTATGAAGAATTAATCTTATTTTAGAATTTATTCAAAATAGTTAGATAAAAATTTGAAACGAAATTATAGAAAATTTGAAAGAATATATAAAAATATAGAATATTGAATTACAATCGATTTACTTATATAATATAGTATGATAATATAAAATAATATCATATTGGTACAGTGATAATTTTTTTGATCAGAGAATGCTGCAAAGCAGCATTTTCTGAATAATCAAAAAAATTATCACTGTATTAATGTGATGTATCTCAAAATTATCATGCTATATTGGTATTATAGTACGGCAGTCATTGATCATAAATTATACTGTTTATATTTTTTTTAAACTTCTTTAATTCATATGGAGCAAAATGATATAAGTATAGATGACGTAAACCATACAAAATAACAAGCATGGATGACATAATAAAAAGAAAGTAATTTAATAACATAAACGGTGTAATACTCATTATGATTAATAGTGGCTGTGCTATAATTAATAATATAGTATTAGCAATACTTGATATTTATACAAATTTATTTGATTAGATTTATTTAATAAATATGTTAAGACAGTTTTTTATATCAATTACATGATATGTTATGGGGTAAATTTTGTATATATAAAACTATAGCAAAAACATTTAGAATTACATATAAACTTTGTTGCGATGATGTTTTTTCATTTATATATTAACTTTAAATTAAATTTTACAAATAAATATATCAAGAAAAGAAGAAAAATTACATTTTAGACTGAATAAAAATCTTGCAATTTTGATATAATTTAAAAATATAACTCTGTTAAAAAAAAAATTATTTTTATTTTTATTTTTTTTTAATGTTAAAGTGATCACTTTGGGGTTTAGCACGTTTTATTGAACTTTGAATTGAATACCAAGACAACCACATGGGCTACCCCTGATTTTGTTACATTAATGAGGATACATTCTAGCTATATATACAACTTTTGGTTGTCTATTTAAGCAGTCTTGTATATGTAACCCATATGAACTATACTAGATGCTGTACCTGTAACCCACTATTACTTGAGTTACCCAATTAAACCTTCTGATCAACTTAGCGCTGTAGGATATTCTCCCCAAAGAGGAACTGCTGTATAAGCCTCTTAGAACTTTAAAGCAAATACATACTACTATATAGAGGGTCCTTTATTTTTGTAGTAAACCTACCAGAGCGGTCCATATTCTACATATGTATTATCTAGATTTTTGGTAACTTACATCTAGGCTGTGACCAAGTACTTGCAACTTTTATTTCTGCTACTATTATCTACTCTGTGCTCTTGCAAAGTTCACCCAAACCCCAGCACACACTTTATGAATTATCAACAATACTTCAATACTAACTATTAGTACTCTAAACTTCTAATTCAAATGGCCCGGGAGGAACCAGTAGGCATCACCTGATATTCTGA